ACACACACAACACAGACACACACACAGAGACACACACAGGCACACACACACACAACACAGACCACACACAGAGACACACACAGACACACGCACACATACACAGATACACACACACACAAATCCATGGGAGATCGGAGTTCATCTATGCAGAAGATAATTGCATTAGAACTCAAAATATCTACATTTTTTTTTCTGTGATGAGACTGGTGCACACTGACTATTATCCACACAGCAAGTGGTGTTTGAGGGTTACCCAGCAGGCGAGAAACTGGAAGTTTCTCCCCACTATGAGCTGCCCATATTTTGTATTTAGGTAACAGTGAGCTTTGTCAATGCCTAAATACAGATTATAAAAAACAAAATGTATGCAAAGTGTGCATTTTATAAGGTTGTATTTTTTGAATCTGTGCATCATTCAAGGTCTCCTTTTACGGTTTGTCAACAAGATAGCTGCATAAACTGCATCCTGATACCTCACAGCTGTGCGTAATTCATTCCATCTACCCATGCAGCACAAATAAAAATTTTATTTCTATCATCTAAAAGAAATACTAGTGGATAAATACATAAGCAAAGCTCATAAGAAACAGCCTTCTGACCACAGATACTGCAGAAGGAATATTGTGCAACCAATTAAAAAGCCCAGACACAGCTTCATTATCTCTGTACACAGATAATAAATACTTTGCTCAGCAAAGAGTGTAGTTATGCAACTTCTCAAGAGGGTTGCAAAAATGTCCCACAAGCATTGGCCCAGTCTGCCTTCAAATTCTTTTAGGAATATTTAGAAATCAGTCTTTTCGAGGAAAACTTTGGAACAACAAAAGAACCTTCTTTGATTAAGAATCTGGAAGATGTGGGTGAAAGGGCAATGTTCAGTGGTTGGCATAGCATCAGAAATAAAAAAGTGTCATTCTTCACCAAGAACACCAGAGGAACTCCTCCTGAGGTCTGAGAGGGCTCCACAAGTTGGGCGTGTTTAGCCTCAACATGATCAAATCAGAGCTTCCCACACCCAGGTCTCCCTAGTATCCCCAGAGTCAAGATCTAGAGTTGCTGTCTCTCCAAGTTCCCTCCTGGCAGGGACCATGGTAATGGCTTGATTAGGGGGCCACGTAGCATCTCCTGTCTGAAACAGCATCTCACAAGAGCTATAGAACATGCAAAGACCTTTCCACCAAGTATCTGAATTGGGGGGGGGTTCTTTCAGATCTGTACTGTGGCTAGAATATGCGTGGAAACTTCCTGTCCTCTTGCTGAGATTGGATAGTGGGGTGTGCATGATACTGGTGTTGAATCTCTTCTGCCCAATTTCACAGGCCCTGGGACAACTGGGTTTGCTATAAACTAGTTGAACAAATTGACATGCGTTGCTAATTTAACCAAAGCTGGCAGGAGAACCTCGTAATTCATTTGGTTTGTTTATGTGGCAGGAACGTTAAGATGCCTGCCATCATTTTTTCACAGTCTTTCCTGACTTCTCAGAGAGCCCCACAGGGGCCACAGTCACTGCTGGAATGCGGCATAGTTTTAAATGGGGGTTCCAGACAGATTTCCACTGTTGACAATTACTGGTCTGTTCAAGAGGCCTTAACCCAATTCAAATACCCTACCAGCTTCCTTGTAAGCCCAGGTAAGTCCACTTTACATACTACAATCTAGATCTTCAGGAGCCACATAATGGATCAGACCTCACTATAACATGTGAATCTCATGAAGTCCTGAGCAAGAGACTCAGGCATCAGTGAAGCTTCCCATGCTATGGATACCAGCTCCAGCTCAGCTAACCTCTGTGTGGTCATCTCCCAGGCTGGCCAGGCTCTGCCCATTTGAGGGAAAGGAAAACACCCTCTCTTGGATGGTATCACCCTTCTAAGGCTGGAGAGCTCTCATCTGCAAGGCTCAGCTCATGGACCCCCCCAACCCCAACAACAGCCAAAAAGGCCCCTCTTGGCTTATGCCTCACAAGCCCCATTTCCAGGCTCTCCTTATGCTGTTTTTCTTACTCAGTTTTGTGTGTTGAGGCGATCTTAAATTTGCAGGAGAATTTTGGTCCTGGCACAGAATGCCCAGGAGTCTTGTGCTTTTACAGCACATGCTGCTCTCGGTCTGACAGGCTGAACGTGTCTTCTCTGGTTGCTTGGGACAAGAAGCTATTTAGGAAACTTTTGTTCAGATTCTGGACTATTTACATACGCATACTTAGATATCTTGTGGCTAGAACTCAAGTAAAAACACAATTCATTTGTATTTTAAAAAACGTGTGTGTATGTGTTCATGTGTGCACACATGTACATATGGAGACCAGAGATCAATGTTGAGTCTCTCCTATCACTCTTCACATTGTCGTTGTTATTATTATTATTACTAGTATTATCATTATTTGAGACAAAATCTCTTATTGGACCCAGAACTCACTGGCTAGCTAGAGTGGCTGGCAGTGAGCCCCAGGGATCCATTTGTCACTTCCCTCTGGACCCCTCAGTAGTGCTAAGATTTTAGATTCTGGCTTTTATGTGAGTGCTGGGGATCCAGACTCAGACCCTCATGCTTGTGTGCAGGCACTCTACTTACTGAGGCATCTCCTAGCCCATTTACGTTTCATAAACTCTCTATACATGTGCACTTATGCGTACACCTTACCACATACGACATTAACACACCTGCATCTTGACTGTGACCCATCACAGAAGGTACAGGATTTTACACTTGTGGTACGTCAAGTTCAAAAGCTTTTGTATTGGGGATTGTTTTTTATTTCAGATTGCCAGATTAGGGATGCTCAGCCCGTGCTCATTCAGTTGTCTGTGTCCCAGGACAAGAATGTCTATCATGGGGACGTTTCCTCTGTGTCCCTGTTGGATGCACAGGACGAAGACTGCTGAGTTTTCGGGGGTGAGGTTATGTCTAAGAGATCAGTGTTACCAGGGTGCAGACAGAAAGCACTGGCCTCAGGTGATAATAGGTGCTGGCTAAAGCAACTTCTATTCAGTGAGCTTTCTGAATAGAAGCATCAGGTCTAGAGCGCTCACAAGCAGGCCTGAGACAGAACTGCTTGGTGAGTGAGTGGAGAATGCAGTAGGGCAGCAGTAGGACCAGGGACACGGCAGCAAGGTTGTCGCACAACCTGTGAGCATTCTGAAAGCCACCAAATGAAGACACAGGAGGAAGCTCCTTGACTTCCTGACTTGGAGGCTCCAGGGTGTCATCATGGCCCCTCTGAAGTCAGAAGGACTACAGATGTCTTCCATCCAGACAGTCCATGTCTTGCCCTCCAGCCAGTGCTCCCCCCGGTGTGCATGGATGTCACCACTTGGGACCAGCTGGCACAATGGGACTCTCACCCCCTGCACACAGATTCATCCCTGAGGAGTCAGGAAATCATCCCTGATGATTCAGGTCATCTGAGCACAGTGTTAATTACTTTCCTTGTTGCTGCGACTGACCCTCTCTTGACAAAGCAACTTCAGGGAGGACATATTTATGTAGGCTCTGTTCAGGGTACAGTCCGTCATGGTGCGCAGGCATGATGACAGGAATTTGAGGCAGCTGGTCCCATTGCATCCACAGTCCTCACTGTGGAAGAGAGAGTTTGAATGCTGACTCTCACTTGCCCCTTTTTATTCTGTCTGGAACCCTAGCCACAGAGTGGTGCTACCCACGTTTAGGGTGGGTTTTCGCACCTAAGTTAACCCAACTAGAAACTCCCTCTCAGACATGCCCAAAGGCCTGTCTCCTGGGTGAGTCTAGATCCTGTCGAGTTGGCCGTCAGTATTAACCATCACAAGCCCCTTTGCTTTCCTCCCCTGCTCACCTGGCCTATGGCCACGGTCCCCTCTCTCTCCTCCCCAAATGGTTGAAGGACCCAGTTCATCCCTCTGCCTCTGGCCTGTTCATGACTTTTCACCCACTAGCCCTCAACAGTTAGGAGTTTAGAATGCTTGGGACCAGCTTAAGAATGTTCTGGAAAGGCTACATGAGACAGTTACCATTTCAGTAGTAATCCTTCTGTAACCTGACTGTAACTGCAGACTTCCACACAGAAAATGATAAAACGGTGTGGATTTAGAAGTATTAAGGGAATTGTAAAATGTCTAGGATTAAAATTTCAATACCGTTTGTGCCCCATAAATGTGAAGTCTTTAGTAACCTGAAACTGTGCTATTATGACTCAGGTCTGAAAATCAGGAATTCTGGCTGAAGAAATGGGAATAACACGTGGGGGAATCTGGTTCCATCCCTCACCTCCGGGGCCATGCTGTGGGCCCACTGAATAGCAAGCGCGTGACCTCATAGGAGAGCAAGTCCAGAGAAATCGCCATGCTGGTTTTCCCTGAAAGAGAAAGATGTTATTCTTTCCGCTGGGATTACTTGTGGAAATGGGTCTGAATTGAACCTGTGGCTTGTGGTACCTGGCTTCCCAGAGAAGACACCGCAAACAAGTGCATAGAATAGTGTATTGAATAATTCAATTTTCAAAACATAAACCAGTCTAGTTGGTCTGAACTGGCAAATTAATTTTATCTATAGAAACACTTACCGAAGCATATAAAATTAGATTTCATAAGTGCACAGAGGAGACTTGGCGTTGTGTGTAACAGATTCGCTGGGACTTAAGTAAATGGATTTAGTCTTAATTCATTTAAAGCCTCGGGACTTTTAATACAGAGTTGATCTTAGGTATAGCGTTAATTTATCATTTTAAAAAAGTTGTCGTTTGCTCGCTTTGGTTCCTGATTGAAGGACTAAATTATATACTTTGACTGTGATAACAACACAACATGGGTTTCAGTTCTGGAAGGAAAAAATGTCAATTTTAATGGCTAGATTGACAGAAAATTCATTGGTTTTTAACACTTACCGTGATTTAATGGATTATAGCGTTTCCCTGGACTTGTTCAACTTCCAAGTCTTTTCACTGTGTCAATTCTATAATAAACTTTGAATGCCAAATTCTTCCCAAGTAGAACGAAAACCCAGCTGCTTTTCTTTCTATTTAGGGGTGAGCTTATGGGACCAGCGAAGAGCTTATGAAGTGACCAGAGTCTCTCTTCTGAAGGAGAACCCCGCCGTCCCAGGACAGAGATTCCCTACAGAGGTCAGTTGCTTCTCTCTCTTTTTTTTTTAACTCTCGGCTTTCGGACTGCTGAAGTTTCTAAATCATGTTAACCAGACTGACAACTCTTCTGCTCGTTTTGTCCTCACCCACTGCCACTTCAGTGCAAACTGTCTCTCTGGAATGAAGCTTTATTCTTAAAGAAGATGAGTCCAATTCTGATGAGACAACGTTTATGAGTGACTCAGCACTATTTGCATGTATTATCGTTTGGGGCAGGGGCTGAGGATATAGTCAGTGGTAGAGCTTGCCTAGCATGAGACGGAGTCAATCCCCGGCATGACAAATACTTATTTTTCAATCAAACACCAACGATTACATTACCAGATATGCAGTTTCTGCACTTGGTTTTCTTGAATGATGGGTCATTTTTCTGTATTCATACCTATTTAATCAGCATTCATTTTTTCCAATTGATTATAGGTATGAAAATATTTTCATGCAACTTAAAAATTTATCATGAGTTTTAAACCAGTCTCAACCTTGTTTATCTTTAACATGCTTCATTCACACCTTATGTGAAATGTAAAATCATTGAAATGTTACTAAGATTTTGGTGAGTTTCATCTATACAAGTTGATATGACTTTCTTAAACTTCGGAACTTGTAGCTGCAGTTGGAAAATGATAAAATCTATAGAAATGCAAGCCATTTGGAGCGATCATGCTGATGGCGCTGTCCTGTATTCTAAGGAAGTATTTTCAGATCATTTTTCATGATAGAAAACAGATTTTTGAAAAGGCCAGTTGAGATTGTGGAAACCCCATGTAGCTTTCTGGAATGGTTGCAGCAGGCCCCTCCGTGTGGGGACAGATGGGGTGATTTATAGTCTTGATTTCTCTCCTAGAGAGCTTGCATTTGAAATTGAGAATTAGACGTGGTTGGTGTCTTAGCCTAGGAGCCTAATGCCAAATCTGCACTTAGTAAAAAAAAAAAAAAATCTGTTTTATGGAGATGGTCTCAAATTGCGTGTGTTAGAGGACAAGGCAAGCTGCCGATACTGTTTCCTAGGAGTAAAACGAGATGTTAAAGAAGCTTTCAGTCTATTGAGCAGCCGTATTAGAACATAAACATGCAGGGAGGGAGAAACCTACTCTTTAGCAAAGAATGTTTGTGTACTAAAACATTTACGGCACTGGGCCACCAAGACGGCTCAGTGGGTAATGGCACTGCTGCTGAGCCTGATGACCTGAGTTCAGTCTCCGGGACCCACATCATGGGAGAAGAGAACCGACTCCTAATTCCCATGAGTTGTCTTCTGACCTCCATGCATGTGCTGTAGCATGTGTGCGGACACACAATAAATTAATAATGTAAAAATGTTTTTAAAATAGGCACTAACAATATAAATAATACCTAACAATTGATTTCTGAGTGATAGAAACTGTGATAGGGGGTTTCCGTGGGGCTAAGTTAGTCAGACTTAACATGTAAAAATACAGAATATTTAGATCTGAATTTTAGATAAACAGTGAATTTTTTTTAGTATAAGTATATCCTATGTATTTTGGACTTCTAAAAACATCTTCATGCCAGGCGTGGTGATGCACGCCTTTAATCCCAGCACTCTGGAGGCAGAGACAAGTGGATCCCTGTGAGTTCAAGGCCAGCCTGGTCTACGTAGTGAGCTCCAGGCCAGCTGGGACTATAGAGAGACCCTGTCTCAAAAAACACAAAAACAAAACAAAAGGTCTGTATCCCCTGGTGCGATTTGTTAGAAGTGCAGTCTGACTGTCCTGTGTTTGATGTGACCCCACGTTGGGGGGAACCAGTAAAAGCTGCCTAGGTACTGACTTACCACAGCACTGGCTACTTCTGCTTTGCTCTGGCTTCTGGTCTTGGCTTCCTCCTCCCTGTCCACTAGCCATCTGGCTGATGTCATAAGGCATACAGAAGGCATCAAGATATTGACTACTGACCAAGTTTCCTGACTATGCTGTGCCCTGCATCAGAAGGAAATGAGGAGGTACTGCTGCTGTTTGGTACAGTCCCCGAATCCTGTGGATTCCAGTCCAGAATCTTGACCATGAGGTGAGGGCACACGGCTAAGACACACTGTGCTCAAGGGACTCCACAGTACTGACAATATTTCAGAGATGAAGTGCTGGGCTCAGCTGGGAAGAGCTTTCTTACTCTTTGATGCACCAGGGCTCATTTCCACATGTAGCTATGACTACAATCACAACATGCTCTCATGTAGGTAACAGGCAAAACCCTACATGAACAGGGTTGCATGTAAATGGTCTGTTAATGTGAGGCACATGGAATTCTCCATGCAGTGGACACACGCATGTGATCTGGTCAGTGTCCTCAGTATGTCCATCTGTCCTTTGAATCAGAAGTAGGCAGGATTTTACTTTGAAACTGCAACAACACAGTCACCTTCCGTACAGGCAAAGATTTCTCCTGGCAAAGTGTTTCATAGCCCAACTATGCTTGTTGTAGTTCAGAAAACAAGACTTCCACATGCTTCCTGACCTCTACTTCCTTTAACTTAGCGGGCTTTTAGCAGTGCACCTGGTGCTGGGCACATGTAGTCGATGAAAGAGGCAGACAACCCTTCCATCCCAGCAAGGGACACAAATGAAATAGATTCAGACTTGTCACTCAGAAGAAAACTTCACATCATTTGAGGGATCCTCTGGGAGGTTCATTTTGATAGACTTGCCAAGAAAGGCTTTTCTAAGAAAGAGGAAGGGTTCACTTTTTTCACTGAGTTTCCAAAAAGTCAGCGTGTGAAAGGCTGATGAGAGAGGAACTACACTGTTCACCCACCCTATCATGCTGGGGCCCAGCCCTGACGGACAGGTGCCCTCTCACATTCTGTGGCAAATGGAGGGCGGTGTAGAAGATGGAGTATCATCAAGAAAGAGAGGGAGGCAGTGGTGAGACGTGGTCAGACTGGGGAGTTTGTGAGGGAACATCAGATGGACTTGCCAGTTGACTAGCAATATAAAAGATATACTCTGTGTCTGGGCCCTGGATACATAGGAGGAGGGGCTGTCACCATAAATATCCCCAAAGAGGAAGGATATCTGTTTAATGTGGTTTTCATGCATCGTTAACTTGCTGTGTCCACCGGTTCTCGGTCTGGGTACATATTAGAACAGTCTGGACCCTTATTGACAGCGTTCATTTTATTGGCTTAGGGGCAGTCCCAGTAACTTCATTTAAAATATGAAATACCCTCCTACTTCCCAGTGGTACAGCCACCGGTACATGATCCCCACTCAAGCAGGTGACCCCGTAGGTGACAAAAATAAACAGGAACATAGGAAGACTTGGAAAGAAGGGATCTGGTTATGGGGGGAGATATGGAGGATAATGAGAGGGCCTTTGATCTAAGAGCATTATGGGTGAAATTTTAAAAGAATAAATAAACAGGGCTGGAGAGATGGCTCAGTGGTTAAGAGCACTGGCCGCTCTTGCAGAGGACCTGGGTTCGATTCCAAGCACCCACGTGGCAGATCACAACCATCAGTAACTCCAGTTCCTGGGAATTTGACACCCTCTTCTGACCTCTGTGGGCACTGCATGACATGGGTGCACTTACATACATACAGACATTACACTCATACACATAAAAATAATAAATAAAATATTTTTAAAAGAATAAATAAGACAGGCTCTCAGGTGATATTTATGAGAATACAAAGTTTGGATGCATGGGGGCGTGGAGACTCTAGCCAATGCTGCTGACCAGTGATTTGGATAAGGGTACTGTCAGAGATTCTCTTTCTCTCTCTGTCTCTCTCTCTCTCTCTCTCTCTCTCTCGTCTCTTAAAAGCTGAAATGCATCTGGATGGAATTTGAGTCTGTCTCTTCCGAATCAAGAAGCAAGCTGTCAACTGCCACCAGCAACTCTGTTCAGAGAGGAGAGGCAGCAAAGAATGTAGCTGTGCACAGGGTGGATAGCTTCCAGCCTTCTGTTTGGGAGTCCCTTGTCACCGACTGTGACACAATTGCCTCACTGCTTTCCCCATCTTGGGGTCATTAGAAGAGTGAGATGAAGCAACGACTTTCAAACTACATTGGAAATGGAACATTACTGTGCAAATGTGAGGTCATGTTGGGAGTTTAAAGTGTCTTCCGGGACCTATCTCCATTTCACATTCTGGAAAAGTCAAGCTGAGAACCAGGGAAGCCGTGTCTCATTGATTGACCATGAGATGGCCTCGGTGGAGCTCAGCCTTGGTCTGCTCCAGGAAATGTCCAATTTCCAGCTTCCTCACACCATGATGAAATTATGGAAATGGTATGTGAAATGGAGAGGGAGAGGAAGGTGGATTAGAACAGGAACCCAGAGCCTCTACAGGTCTCAGATGTAGGTCTCAGATGTCAGGGAGCAACTAATTGCAATGGCCGAGGTGGATTCTGCTCTGCTCCAGACCCACTCGCTTATTTCAAGCTGAGGAAGTTGAGCCCAGCTCTCCTGTCAAGTAGCCATCTGCTGTCTGTCCCTTCCCAGTCAGACTTCTGAGAAAGGTGATTCCTAGTCCCTTGCCCTCCGCTCTCCCAGGGCCTCTTCCTCTTGCAGGCAGCAATTTCCAGCCCTTCATCAGAATCACCTTTCCAAGGTCATAGATGGCCTCTACAGCCAGTGCCTGCCTTCTTCCCACTAACCCCAACCCTGACTCCCACTCATTCTCGTCCAAATTCTCTCCTCTGCTGGCTCCTGAGATCCCCGTCTCTCTTGATTCTTATGTTTAAAAAACTTTTGCTATTGTGTATGTGTGTGAATGTGTGTGATGTATGAATGTGTGTGTGTGTATGAGAGAGAGGGAGAGAGAGAGAGAGAGAGAGAGAGAGAGAGAGAGAGAGAGAGATGTGTGTGGATGTGGGTACATGCATGATAATAATATTCCTATAGAGGTCAGAGAATAGCTTTTGGGAATTGGTTCTCTCCTTGGATCTGAGAGTTGGGCTCAGATATTCCACCTTGTACTCCTGGTGAAACAAATGCTTTTACCTGCTGAACCATT